GAGAGAGAGAGAGAGAGAGAGAGAGAGAGAGAGGTGAAAATAATAATTTACAATAGGTTTGGAAATAGAGGGCAAGTCATTGCACAATACACTGCAGAATATCTATCAATATACTCAGTATACAGACTATCGCATTAAATTCTTAAACAAAACAATAGGATTAAATCGGATTAAGACTTTGTGTTGAATATAACCCAAACACATACAGCGAGTACCTTTAATATGGATAATTAGTTTTCTGGGTTTTCTTCGCCGAATAGTAACGTCCAGAAATTGTCTTGTTTTTTGTTGAATAAACATATATGCAATTTCTGGACGTTACTATTTTGCGAAGAAAACCCAGAAAACTAATTATCCATATTAAAGGTACTCGCTGTAGACATCTATACGGAATACACACCAAATATATAATACACTATAATCTCTTACATATAAGGCTTAAGAATTGGTTTTGACATAAATTCATTCAATACTTTCCCAATTGTATTGCACTTCATATTATATGCGAATTTTAAATCACTTTTTTTGAAAAGGGATTTGAAAGCAAACATATTTGACAACAATATCACAATTATTGTCACATAAATGTCAGTTAAAAAATACCATCCGATTCCTGCGGCTCTCCATCATATGAATTGGCGGTAAAGACATGCACTTCCATGAGGTATGGCTTGTCATCAAAATCATAGGTAAGTATACCCACCGGTCGAAGATCACCGCAGATTAGGTGACATTCTTCGTACACTTCTCTTTGGTTTTAGACAACGACAAGAAGTGATAATACAAGAAGTGGATGAAAACAATGTATACATTATAATAGAGAGCGTATGACAAGAGATAATAAGATGGCATACCTTTTGGCCGCTGACACTATGGACTCATTGTCCTCCACTTTACCGCCGAAGCCATTCCAGAGACCGATTCCGTGTCCTCTCTTCTTGAGACCCAACAAAATGTTGTCCTCTTTGATGACCCAAACAATTGTCATCATTTGTTTCGCTTTCATCTCTCACTTCAAAGATTTGTTGAAAACTTTTTCAAACTAAAAAACAATTGGAAAATGTGTTTCAAGTGTTTATGAGTTAAAAGTAAATAAACATTTGAAACAAAACTTTTATACAAACAAATATATTTTGTCCTTCAAATCAGCGCCAAATGTATTGTATTTCAAATTATACTATACTTTAAATGATAATAATTGATATAATTTACAACTATTTATATTTGTACACCACTTTCCTATTAAAATGAATTTATTATAAGATTTATTTGCTGTAATAAACTCCACGTTTACATTCATTACATATTTGGACATTAAATGCTTTACAAATTGGGGCTTAAGTTAAAATTTTTAGTTTTGTTTCGCTATTATTACAGAAAATATCATAAAATGAATGCCAAGATTGGAGCCGATAATGGATTACTTAATACATATAAAAAGCCAGTGAAACGACTTTTATTTCATATAAATTAATCTAATTATTGTGTAAATGTCTGTCAGAATAAGGGTTTCATATATAGATAGACTTGTATATACTGTATAAGTAATTACTGTATAAATTATTTAGGATTTATTCACTAAACTAATTATTTTGAGACATGAAATAATGAGATCGTTTGTCATACAGGAGTGTGTATTTTATTTTAAGTATTTCTTTCCAAGACATTTATTTTTCATCATATTTTTTATTTGATGTAATTTCTAGTTTTCAGCCCATTTTTATGCCCAGTTATACGATATTATTATAAGCCATTAGGAAATATTTTATGATTAATTTTTTTTATAACCATAATGTTAATGTTTAACAATTGTTAGACCTGGGTGATTTTAATGTTGAATTAATTTGTTAAGAAATTGAATTAATATGTTTGTTTGTGTTTATGTTTTAATTTAATTTATATATTTAAACACAAAAAACAAATCTAATTATTTGTGTCTAGAGATGGTATGATTGAAGATATTTATATTATTAAAATTGAAAATAACATTATTTTTATAGCAATTGTTTATTCAAATTTATTCCTTGACATAAAAAATTTTAATATAATAATGCTCTCTGTATTTCTCTGAACTTTTTTTTATTACATTTATGAATTTAAACTCATTTTTTACAACAAAAAACAATAACAATATGCTTGTAGTGAGAGATATATATAACATACAAACAAATATCACACTTTTTATTCATATAAAACAGAGTTTTGTATATAAACTTGGATTAAATATTTGATTTGCTATTGAAATATATTTTTTACATATATATTCTCCACACAATAGGAATCGTGTGAATGAAAGTAAAATTTCATAGAAATTTATATATGTTTTAAAGGGATATCAGAGGAGAAGAATGACTATTAATACAAAAAAGAGAGTTTTATTATCAAAAATGTTTTGCATCTTTTGTTAAAACGCGTTGAAGTTTTCAATATAGCGTATCATTTGAATTATTTATTCTCTCTCTCTCTCTCTCTCTCTCTCTCTCTCTCNTGTCCAGCATTGACAGCAACTCCAAGCCATCCAGAAATTTATTTTTGTCAAAATCGTGTAAACTATACAACAAAAACAGTATTAGTAATTCAGTGAATTTGTTTAGTTTTTGGAATAAAAACAAAAAATGAATACAAAATTTATAGCAGATATAAAAAGGATTGACTCAACGATTGAAACACACATTTCATTTGTGAAGTTTTTTTGGATATCAAAGAGTCGACACGAATAGCACACAGGAGTGGAAGAAAAGTCACTTTCATTTTCGCTCACGTATTAGTAAAAAAAAGGCATTAATAATACACAGAATATTCTGTCAGCAGAAAGAGTGCAGAGAAAGTCTGAGATAAATAAGTAATATTGAAATATAATGTCACGGATTGTGGGATATGTGTCGGCGATATGTTTGGTGGCATTCAGTCTCATCTCAATCAGTGTCTGTCAGACCAAAGACAAGTCACAACAGATGTCTCGCGTAATGGAGAGGCACTCGGATAACGTGCGGCAGTGGCTCTGCAAAGGACAGGGCATTACTGCCGATCAATGGACATCGCTTAAAGAGGATTGCATTAATCCAAGGATTAATCAATTAATACCCGTAAATATCACATTATTTTGCGGATGAGTTTTTTGTGATACTTTTTTTTGGTTCATTGAGATTTAAATTGTGTTTTATTCTCGTACTATCTATTGATGTGTGTATTCCTCAGGAGAATGGTATGAATACGTGGCAGAAGTGTAGCGAAAAGGTCACCGATTTGTGTGATGACAGCCAATGGATGGACGGAAAGGTTTGCGCTAAAGAGATGCTGTCGGAGCGAGAAGTCGGGGTATGTCTGACATTAAGTTTTTTCCTTTATATGTCTATTATGTGAATATAAATTGCTTTACCTTCTGGTCAAACAACTCGAATCAAACCCTTATTTATTATGATTTTTGGTTATAATTTTTATATTGATGTCCGGAAAATGAAATAATTATAATATAAAGTGCTTTTCTCCACAACTTGTTTAAACATAGCGTTTTCACTGGTTTTCTCAAATGCTGTTCTCATACGGTGTTTACTCGTAAAGCAAATCGATATAAAGATATTAAAAATATTATTATATTTATATTTGAAATATAATATTTCCATAAAATTTTGAAGTTTGGTTTTGGAAAATACTTGAAGTAAAATAATTTGCAAAATATTTTCTTTTCTTACAGGAAATGCACGACTGGTATAAGACTCGAGTCATGCAAATGAGAAATAATTTGCAAATAATTAAAGTAAAAATATGCCAAAAAATATTATTCAAATTAAATTTATTAATAATATTAATTTTGTGCTTAATTTTCACACCAGAGTTGTTATAACCAGCAGAAGAAAAACGCAAAAACCATTAAATAAACACATTTTGACTTCAAATATGTCACAAATCAAAACTTTTGATACATTTTATATAATTTTTCTATCATTTAATTTCATTAAACAATTTTCGATATAAATAGTAAAATTGTAAATAATTTTCTACTCTAATAATGAACACAATTTTATTAATTCCTACTAAACCCTAACATTATTAATATTATGTTTAGTTTTAGCGCTTTTAAACTCGTTATAATCCAAGAAACCATCATCATTTATATCGTCGGTTCGCAATAACTTGTCAACCATTGCTATAATTTAGGCACAAATTAAGTACAAATTTTAAAACCAAATGTAATTCAATTAAAAAGACAATAAAATAAATCCAAACCAATATTTTGCTCCTTTGAATAAACATGTTGTGGCGAGTGATGGCCGGAGCCGTGATTGTCCAGCATTGACAGCAACTCCAAGCCATCCAGAAATTTATTTTTGTCAAAATCGTGTAAACTATACAACAAAATAACAATTAATTTAAACCCAATAATTCAAACATTTCAATCCATTACTTAAACATATGAAAGTCCATCTCATCGGCCAAATGGGGTGACTTATTGTCCATTTTGATGCCGTAATGGTATTCCAGTTCATCCTTCAAATGACTGGAAGGCTTGTGTTCGCTGAAGACATCATTAATTTTAATACAACGGACGAGAAAATAGTTTTATGCGAAATAATTAATATCACTATAAAAACAATTAATCATTAAATAAGACAATACTCAGTAGTGTTGACATCATCAGCAAAAACCCAGTTCCAGAAGTCGACTCCTTCTTCAGTGGCCGACTCTTTAATGGCGTCAATGATATCATTGCATTCAATTAAGTCCGTCAACGCATTCAACGACACAATTAATATCAATAAATAACATTTGAATTGGAAAAAAGTCTTCATATTTTTTATTATTATTAATTCTTATAATAATTATTATTTAACAAAAATTAACATAATTTACACTTTTTTACATTAAAGCTATCATCGATAGAGCGTGACCTTCACAGCAATATAGACCGAGAGAGTCGGCCACTGAAGAAGGAGTCGACTTCTGGAACTGGGTTTTTGCTGATGATGTCAACACTACTGAGTATTGTCTTATTTAATGATTAATTGACTCTCTCTCTCTCTCTCTCTCTCTCTCTCTCTCTCGTTGCGAGCGTAAAATGTGTAACAATTTCTGATGTTTCAGTGTTTGCGATCACTCGCGCACTCCAGGGGTTAGCGATGGTATGTTTGGGTTGATATTGGGTCACAACCAGTGCTCTCACATCTAATACCTTTCATACGATATGCCTCTCATTCCTATGCACTTTTGGGAATGGGTTTATGGGTTATTATGGGTTCAATGCCTATCACTCTCTTCTTTACGACATGTAATTCTTTACAACTTTTTATGTGTATTTAAATGAGTTTTTCTTATCGTTCAAAATGTATTCCAAGAATTTTCCTCTTGTTTTTAGTTGAATTGTATTTTTCCTGTGATTTCTATATCCAAATAATAGCCTTAACTCTTGGGTTAAAAATACAATACACCAAAAAACTGTTCACATTTGAAATAATACAGAAATATTTAATAAAATACGAATCGATAAAAATATATCATAAGTCAATAAAATACTGTTTGTTTGCTATCTATTCTTCTCATTACAAATCAATATCGGATTCTTGTATACTTTTGGGCTTCAGTTGTGGAGACAATCGATGGCTTCAATCGGAGAGTTGTCGTCGCCTGTGATCTCATTCAACAAGAATTTATTGATTTTGCATTTGTCGGTCACTTTGAAATGACCCACAAATCTGCGCCTCGACATCAATAGCGGAAACCATTGCTTCACGTCTGTCCACATCTGGTCAAAGGGCATGTCTGCCATTGAATGCCATTTGGGAATCATCTCTATTGTTATCACAAAAAGTGATTAGTTATTATCCACGACAGCGGCGAGAGAGAGAGAGAGAGAGAGAGAAGTTTTGGACACCGGAAGAAAGGGTTACTATAAGTTTACTATACTTAAGTTCAATCAATAGTCTATTCTGTGATTAGAGTCAAACATAGAGTATATAATATAGAGTATTGTTAATATTTGGTCGCCTCGACACCGGCGCGCACCGCCACCGCCACTGCAAATCATTTCAGCATTCAATTCAATGTCTTGTAGTGTTTGGTGTAATGCATGGACTCTATGTGTGTGGAGTGGGTCTGCGCTCTAAGAACTGCAATTCTGGTCGTCGATCGCACCGTTAGCTGAGATGTGGAGCACTAACACGAGTGCTGTGTTATATACGATGGGTTTTAGTGTGGTATTGATTTTTAGGGCCGCACCCTATAGTCTATGCGAAGCATAAGAGCACCAGAAGAATAGTGTTGGGCATAACCAACACTGAAAACCTATTGCCCGTAATATTCAGGCATTCATTGAGGAGAGAGAGAGAGAGAGAGAGAGAGAGAGAGACAGAGAGACATTACATACCAGTGCTCTCTCTCGTCAGTGCATGTGCCGTGTGTTTGCTTTTTTAAAAAGCACTGTTAAGAGAGAGAGAGAGAGAGAGAGAGAGAGAGGGAGAGAGATAGAGAGAGTACTGTATATATGATATTCTTGCGTACGGTTAGTACGGGAGAGGGAGAGAAGTTGTCGAGCGAACAGTGCTTTTTAAAAAAGCAAACACACGGCACATGCACTGACGAGAGAGAGCACTGGTATGTAATGTCTCTCTGTCTCTCTCACTCACACACACTCTTTGGTATATCCAAAATGATATGATATCAGAGGCTGTGGTGGCAAAGGCTGTGTTAGCGAAGAGTGCAGAGTCGGGGCAGGCGTTCAAATGTATGTTTCGCTCTCACTATTGATATCAAGTGAATAACTGTTCGATAAGTGGCTAAAGGTTTGTGGAGGAGAGAGAAGAGAGAAGCGAAGAGAGAGACTGAAAGAGAGAGAGAGAAAGAGAAAGATAGCGAAGTGAGAGACGAGAAGAAATGGTGACTGAGTTCTGACAAAAAGGCAGTGAATATAAGAAGGTTTTTATATATGATATATGAAAACACTTGTGTTTGTGTTGTGAATATATCTGTATATGTGTTGTGTTGTTCATCGGATTGGCGGCCAATAATTGAGTCCGACATCACTGCCAGAAGAGTGTGGGCATAGATATTGGACCCGGAATTTGAGTGAATGACCACTAATTATAATAATGAGACACAGAATCGACGATTCATTAGTGAAAAGTTTGCGCGGAATTAACGCCAATATATATTGAATCACAACTAATAATAATAATTTTGTGTCTGTTTTTTATATATTAAATTAAATGCTAATAAATTACAACATTATTAAGTGATAAGAATTGTGTTTAAAATTCGTGTTCATAACAAAAATCTCTATATAAATACTGTGTGTCAATATATAACACACAATATTCACACAAATATATATTATATATATTAATATATAACAGAATTGTGTGATTCTCTGCTCTCAATTGTCTCATGTGTCTCATCTGATGGATGCGTTTGTGTCGCCAATCATACCGTCATTAGTAGTGATTAGTATTGCAATAATAGTGGACTCATGTGTGTGTATGGGATGAGTGCTATATCGGGGACCAGCAGTCCTGCAATCGATGATCAGTCGCACAGTTGTGGACAATGCAAAAGGAGACGATGTACTCAGTGGGGCCACACATGGGAACAGTGCCAGGAGTGCACGGCCAGGATATGGGACACATGTCACGGTCGACGCGGTCTATGAGACGGAGAGATGATGTGCCCACTTTCGGTCCGGGGGGCTCCCCCTCCAAGCCATACATTAACTCGATATCACAGCCGCCCTCCGCCAGGGGTTCGCCCATATCTTCGCGACACATAATCAGTCCCACACACGCCGTGAGACGGGGCCGACACGCGTACGGCATCAGCCGCTCCAGCAATAACAGCCCATTAACACTGCCCGTAGAGCACGTGCCGCAGTCGCTCAGCACCAGCAGCGCCTACGGCCACGGCTTCCCCTATTACGACGACCCGGGCTCACCCATTATGGACTCCCGGGCCGCCCATCAGGCGATGATCCACTCCGCCGGTGCCGGCGGAGTCCGTTCTTCCCGCTCCGGACGTATGCCTCTCCGGAGCTATCACTCTATGGACAGAGAACCCGATTATATGATGCGCTCCGGCGCTGGTGTCGACCAAATGATGGCCAGAGAGCAGCTGCTCATGGGTTCGGGTCGCGATCCGCGCGACCGTTCCTTCGACCGCATAGACATGTCGGGCCGACACCAGACACAGCACCGCCGCGAGCGCTCACTCGACCGGTCCATGTATTTGAGAGACGATCCGACGCAAGTGTATCGCTCCGACAGAGAGACTATGATTGACGACCCGTACGGCCGGGACCCGCACCGCGGCGTTCACACGAGTCTCGGCCACAGCGGGGGCGCCGATCCCAGACATTACCAGAGCCGCGACAGCTTCGTGATGGAGCTTCAGGCGCGGCTCAACGAACTCCAGTCCCAATACGGCAACGTTAAGCGCGAATTGGACGCCACCACACAAAAGCTCGGCTCAAGTATGCACTCAATCAAGACTTTCTGGAGCCCTGAGCTCAAGAAGGAGAGGGCCCTCCGCAAGGAGGAGGCGGCCAAATACGCCCTCATTAACGATCAGCTCAAGATCCTCCGATCCGAGAATCAGGTTCGCCCCTAAATGTTCTTCATCTTATCAATACACCACATGTTCCCAACGCCCCCCTCACGCCCCCTCACACCCCCTCTGCTACCCATACTTATCGTTTTATCCATTTTACTGGGTTTTGTTGGTATTGTCCTTTGAAATAAAATCTCGTTTTATAGAAATGCAAAATATATTTTTATAAATATATATTGAAAGTTATTATTATATTATATGAAATGAAAATATGTATTTTGTTGGCTGAATTGATTATACTGTTGTACAGTATGTGGTTATTTAATATGCATTATATTAAGACAATAATCAAATGGTAAACCCAAATGGTAGTAACCCTGGTATTAGTTTGGATATCGCGGGGTCTTTTATATTAATTCCAGTGTTCATTGAATACCATAACAACAATATTTATAAATTAAATAAAAAGCTTGCGATGAGGTCTCAGAACCCAATATAATTGAGTTATTTTTCAAACAGAATCCAAAAGTTAGAGACGAAAAGAAAATAACTAAAAATGAAATTTCACTCAAAATATTAATATTTAAATAGGTTTTGGATTTTTTTCCTTCGCGAATGACTTTTGGGAATATTTATTCCATATATTTATTAATTTAAGAGAATATTATTCTCTCTCTCTCTCTCATTTCTCGTTTCACTTCTCTTCCTCTCCTTCAATGTCTGCACAAAAACTGTGTTTTTAAAAGTATTTCGCATTTAAAGCCAATTGAATTGATTTCCAAATCGACTCGTCGTCTCTCTTATCATACAATATATTTAAAGACGAAAACATAGTTTGCCTTTCGATTACATTTTAGTGTGTATTTCATATCACATCACATAATATGTATTAAATCTATGTTTTCACTCATTGAGAAGGACTGGCATTTTGGGCATCGATTTCAGTCAAAAGCGTTTATTATCTGCTATTTTTGGTCAATAAAAGAAACACAACAATCGTTTGGTTGAATATTTCAAACAATTCATCGAAAGATAAAAGGATTTGTGAATACTTTCACACAAATTGATACTTTTGAAAGTGATTTCTCAAATGATTTTTACAAAAATAAAGCAAACACTACGATATGGAGAGAGAGAGAGAGAGAGAGAGAGAGAGAGAGAG